GGCCACCGATTCGCAATAGCATATGTATCTTCTTATGTTCCACCTTATTTGCTTACATTTTCATCATTCTAGAGGCAAAAACTCAGATAGATGCTATACATATAATGTACATAACATTACATTCTGCCAGTAAATTGGCAACGTAGAGACTCCGTAAAAAACGAGTAAATTCTCCAGTTAAATAATGATTAGTTAAGCAACGCTTACATTCATCGTAAGGTGTGACACATTTACCTTTATTTTCAACCGAATAATAAGCAGAAAAAAATACAATTTTTTAGTTTTATGTAATTTGACAACAATCGGGACCACACTCAAATTCCCCAACTGAAGTGCTTTGAATGATGCGTATTTTTATTTTGATAATCTTTAAAGAAAAATACAAAGTTCACAACATGGTATCTACTACGGAGAGATTTGAAATGAATTGGAAAAGTCATTTCATGATTTCTTAGAGTTTAGTCGAAACTTAGCCTTCAAGATAAATGAGTGAAAATTGCAGTGAGGAGCTTATGATCAAATGCAACTTTTTAATGGTGCATTCTAATCTAATTCTAATTAATGTGATTTGGAGAGGTGAGTATTAACTCGAATCTACCATGTATATAAGAATGGGTGTGATGACCACTCCCACTTTAGAGTAATGAAAAAAGTCTATCGACATTAACTAATAAGGTATTTTCGTCACTGGGGCGACACAAGTCCTCATGATTCTAACATATTAGAAGTCTCAGTGTTTGAAAAAGGCCTCGAGATTCCGTTTTGTCAAAAATTATCAGACCGATGAATAACTTTCGGGAAATGTGTTGATCATTTGAAAAATGAACAGAGATGTTTGTGGAGCGTACAGTCCTATAATGGCTGAAGGAGAAAACTCACCCTCAACCAGACAGACTCGAACGTGCAGCAGTGCTACTTGTCACGTAAGGAGCAGGTATTCAGAAATCTCTCAGCCAGTCACCAATCAAAAGTCGCTACATTTTTTCCAAACCTTTCAATGACTAAGTTCTGTGACGAAAAAACATTCCCAATAAACGTGTTCTACATCATGTGTCAGTTTCCTCGATGTTTTTGAGAGCAGCTTGCCATACATATTACTGAACATAAGTCAAGGCTTACTAGTGTGGCAATCCGTAACGCATTTCAGCCGTCTGATATGGGGGGAATTCTTTAGACCACAAGGTAACTTTCCATTTTTTCTAAATTTTGTATCACTTAACGTGATTTCATCGAAGTATTAGTTAAGCAAGTGACATAAGTTAACAGTTGTCAATAGCATGCTCAAATTTTAAATAGAGCAAAAGTGAAACTTTCAACTAACCTTTGAAACATTTGAGGGGTCGATTTCTGCTCTCTCTCCATTGAG